TCAAAACCATGGGCTATAGTCCATGCTTTTTGCCCGAAAATGGCCAAAAATGACCTATTTTAGCTTCCTCATAAATAATGCATACTTTTCGAAAAGGTGTGAAAATGGTCCACAATCGGTCAAAACTATGGGCTATAGTCCATGCTTTTTGCCCGAAAATGGCCAAAAATGACCTATTTTGCATAAATAATGTATATTTTTTGAAAAGGTGTGAAAATGGTCCACAATCGACCAAAACTATGGGCTATAGTCCATGCTTTTTGCCCGAAAATGGCCAAAAATGACCTATTTTGCATCCTTCATAAATAATGCATATTTTTTGAAAAGGTGTGAAAATGGCCCAAAATCGGTCAAAACCATGGGCTATAGTCCATGCTTTTTTACCCGGAAATGGCCAAAAATGACCTATTTTAGCTTCCTCATAAATAATGCATATTTTTTGAAAGGGTGTGAAAATGGCCCAAAATCGACCAAAACCATGGGCTATAGTCCATGCTTTTTGCCCGAAAATGGCCAAAAATGACCTATTTTAGCTTCCTCATAAATAATGCATATTTTTTGAAAAGGTGTGAAAATGGTCCACAATCGGTCAAAACCATGGGCTATAGTCCATGCTTTTTGCCCGAAAATGGCCAAAAATGACGTATTTTATCTTCCTCATAAATAATGCATATTTTTTGAAAAGGTGTGAAAATGGCCCAAAATCGACCAAAACCATGGGTTATAGTCCATGCTTTTTGCCCGAAAATGGCCAAAAATGACCTATTTTGCATCCTTCATAAATAATTTATATTTTTTGAAAAGGTGTGAAAATGTCCTAAAATCCATCAATGGGTTATAGTGTGGGCTCATATGTGCCAATATATATTTTTTGACTGGCTTATATTAGGGGAGTTGAAAGGAAATGGCTTATTTTTTATTGGAAATATTTTTTTAAAGAATTCTCTTTTACAGTTCCCTTTTTCATCTCTGTCATTCTAAGCTCGCCATTTGTCTCACTGTGATGCAAAGGCATGGCTATAATTCAAGATGGTGCAGGGAACCTTAAAGGAGACTAATGTTGGGGCTACTTTTGATGCTTTTTCTTTCAACATTTTGTGAGCTGTAGACAACAAAAATAAATTTTGTTTTATTCAATGGCCCAAAGACAACAGATGTAGAGAAGATATTCATAAAGGACAGTTAACGCTGGTGATAATCTGTCATGTTTATATCAATAACATTTAGCTTGACTACTGTACAACAGATTTTCTTATAGAGTGCACACCATATATCTGTGAAAACAAGACTAAAGATGTATTGCATAATTGCAGCAATTTTGTACAAAATAGGGGATGTTACAGGAGCAGAAAAATGCATCTTTGTTTGGTTGAGGCCCAAGTAAATTCTTAGTTATGTTACAACTAAGTGGCTGGTAACTAAATACTTAAGTGCTACATGGCTAGTAATTTTTTCCACACACATATGGCATGCACTCTATGGGGATTATTAGAGCAAAGTTCTTTTGTTACAATTAATTACAGTCAAGCTTTACTGAAGTACAATGATGTGAAATAATTACTTCGTTATGAAATTTTCTAAAACTTAATTGTGGTAATAGACTGTAACAGACTGTCAGCTGATTAATGGCCACTTGACAGTAGTATGTTGGGCGTTGATCAGCCGTTTGTTGACTATTAGGTAGTATTGTTTCTTTAGAGACTGTTGCCTATAGTAAGGGTCAAGCTACTTTGGGAAATCCACTGACCACAGCCAAAAGGGCATCTGGTGTTATGTTTTTGCATTTTACCAACTTTGTATAGGTAAAGCACTCTGGAAAACCGAGTACTGCAAAAATGGGTTTAACAGGGAAAAGATTACTCTGCTATTTTTGTCTGCTGAAATACATTTACTCAAGGGAAAAGTTAAAGGAAGTGTTAGGACTCGGTTTCCCATCATGCTTTGTGCTGTAGATTTGTACTCATGCACAATGGCTATTAATATACTTCAAAAAGGCAGCAGTAAGACTCTAGGGTTTCAGAAATATTGACATAGCTAACTTGCTTCTGTCTTTGGTTTGTCTGTTGTTTTTCTAATCAGAGGCTTTGATAATATTTCATAGCAATATTCTTCTGCTGGGTCCCATAAGCTTGGCGATGTTTCATCTACCTGGTATCTACATATCACAAGCAGTTAATAGAATCCTTAGTCGTATGATACTCATATTTAACAAGAATAATTTTAATTGAAAATAATATATGATGCCAATTGTAATACTTACTTTAAGCAGTTTTTGAAAAAGTTGATGGCAACGCTATTGTCTAAAATAATTAAATGATTATTATTATTACTCATGCTATGATAAATATTATCAAACCTCATAATCAATCATTCATCATCACCACAACCATCATCATTCACATCATCATCACCACCATCATCATCACCACCATTATAAGCACCACCATCATCAGCACCACCATCATCAGCACCACCATCATCAGCACCACCATCATCAGCACCACCATCATCAGCACCACCATCATCAGCACNCACCACCATCATCAGCACCACCATCATCAGCACCACCATCATCAGCACCACCATCATCAGCACCACCATCATCAGCACCACCATCATCAGCACCATCACAATCCACCACCACCATCATCAGCACCACCATCATTAGCACCACCATCATCAGCACCACCATCATCAGCACCACCACAATCATTATCATCATCATCATCACCACCATCGACCAAGATCACCATCATCATCATCATCAACCACCACCATCATCATCACAATCATCATCATCACCACCATAATCAACCACCTTCATCATCATCAGCCCCAGTACCACCATCATCAGCACCACCATCATTGCCACCGTCAACCAAGATCACCACCACCATCATCATCAACCATTATCATCACCACTATCATCATCAATCAATTATCAATCGACCATCAATATCCCACATCATCATCAACAACAACACCCACTGTAAATCATCATTACCTTCTTTCTTCAGAATACCTCACCTGTGAATACTGTAAGTACAACTTTTTTCATTTGTGCTTTGTGACCAATCAATTCTAAGATCTGCATTAAAAACTTTCCAAGACCTTTATGATGAAGTGCTGGATCCACTTGGACTTCATAACTGAGAAAAAGAAAAGAAAATATTAATTCAAGCAATGAATACTCAGTTCCTCAAAAAAAAGGCTTTTAAGACTGGTTAACAAATCTCTCCGCCCAATACTGTACATGCTTTGGCCCATTTCAGACCACATGTCCTTCCCTAGAGTATCATTTCTTTGCTTAACAGCTGTGCACGTGAAGACACATGAATATGGATATAACTCAAACAAAGAATCTTCAAAGAGGATGGCACATGGTCTGAAATGGGGAAAACATTTTGTCCGAGCTAAAAATATCTAGTTCATATCTTACCAGTAAAGAACTTCATCCATATTTTCATCCAAGTCAAACCGGAAATGTGACAGAGCAACTCTATTTCCTTCTTTGTCATTTACTAATAAATACCTGTGAATCAATAATTGAATTCAATAGATGCTTTGAAGTAATTCTTGAGAAACTGCCAAGGTTTCTTTACATAATATTTAGGGAGTTGAAAGGAAATGGCTTATTTTTGATTGGAAATATTTGTTAAAAGAATTGTCTCTTTTACAGTTCCCAAATATGACCTATTTTGAATCCTTCATAAATAATGCATATTTTTAGAAAAGGTGTGAAAATGGCCCAAAATCGACCAAAACCATGGGCTATAGTCCATGCTTTTTGCCCGAAAATGGCCAAAAATGACCTTTTTTGTCTTCCTCATGAACAATGTATATTTTTTGAAAAGGTGTAAAAATGGCCAAAAATCAACCAAAACTATGGGCTATAGTCCATGCTTTTTGCCCGAAAATGGCCAAAAATGACGTATTTCATCTTCCTCATAAATAATGCATATTTATACCAGTCATGATTTAGGCCCACTTTCTGCTGCAAGGTTTAGGCGTAAGATCTTACACTCTGTTGTTATGGCAACCTTCTGGCTGAATCCAACTGCCGGTTCCATGTAGGAAAGTATGCATTACCTAAGGAGTTGCATCTTCTTGTCATAAACAAGGTTTACAACCTTGCGCCCTTGCAACTTTACAACCTTACAGCCTTACAACCTTACAGCCTTACAACCTTACAGCCTTACAACCTTAAGGCTGTAAGGTTGTAAGGTTGTAAGGTTGTAAGGGTGTAAGGGAGGGTGTAAGGGAGTAAGGGTGTAAGGTTGTAAGGCTGTGAGGTTGTAAGGCTGTACACACATAGGACTCCCATGCATGTCAAAACGATTCTGATTGATAAATAGTTCTAGTACAGATTTTTGAAAGTGTGTCATGACATGTCGGTTGTTATTGTCACACAAGCTCATAGCAAGAATGACCGTAAGACCTTGCAGAGAAACCTTACACCCAAATGCAGACCCTAAACCGAGACATATTTGCCCTGAGTGTTGCTCCAGTCAGGATTTAACCAACAAACTCCCACAAAAAAGTCTGATGCTCATCCACCTGAGTAATAACCCACTGGCCAGTAAATGCACAATGTTTGCCGAATTGCTTTTGGTGAGTTTTCTTGACTGGACACTATGACATGGATATTCAGGTATAATCCAGAACTGGACCCATTTTTCACAATTGTGTTTATTGAGCTCTGATTCTAAAAAAATGATTGTGAAAATTGACTCTCGATCCAGATCTTTTTCTCATATTTTTACTGTGTGCGCGCTGATAAAAGTGGGTCCACTTCTAGAATAATTTAGCTATTGAGTAGACACTTTACATATACCTCTGACTAATGATAAATCTTGTGTTAAATTCAAACAAGATTTTTTTGACTTGACACTATGGCATGGGTCACATTGTCTGATCATATCCATCTATTGAGCAAATATTTTTACGTATAGCACTGACTAATGCAAATCTTTTGTTAAATTCAAACAAGATGGTGGCAATATAAACAAGATTACTGCAATGCAGGAAGTGTTGTAATGCGTGGGCTGGCGGTTTTGGGCTGGCTAGGTCCCAGACCCCAGGGACGGCAACACAGAACCGAAGGGTTAGTTCTCACTTTATCAGGGGGTTGTATATACATGTATATTATAATCTTTACCACGCTTTCTCCTCAGTCATTTCATCCATCTTTTTCTTGTCATTCCAGCCCCAATCACTTTCTTCATAGCTAAGAGAAAAACAATAGACTGAACATTACTAATCTTAAAACAAGAAACTAGTTTCTAAAATATTTTAGATAAAAGCAACCCTCTGATTAATAGAATAAAAACATGTTTGCATCAAGCTTTCTTATATTATTTTTTCAATGTTTTCTGAGCATCCCAAGCGTTTTGATCAGATTGGATGTAAAATATATTACTCTTTCTTTTACTATTATATTTTCTTTTACTAACAGGGCTTCCATGTTGCGCTTGGTGAGATCAAATACCCATTGCACTTCCTCTGGATTCATTGCTGTCACTCTTCTACATGTTACTTCAAGATCAAGTCTAAAAAATATAATCATAATAATTTTATAATTATCATATTAGTATGCTGGATAGTGCTATCCAAATCTTATCCAGTGGATAAATTTATTGGATAACAGCATCAACTTATCCACTGGATAAGGATTTCTCCGCCGGATAGTGTTATCCAGGCTTCGTACAACCGGCTCCTGATGTACATAAAAATGTGTTAGGTATAAAATAATTCAAAGTTAGTAATGTCTACAGTATAACTTAAAATAAATATAAACATGAAGATTTGGATTTGAATGAAAGAGACTTCTCTTGGAAAGTGCCTGGCGTAATAGTTAGATTGAACAAAGATTTTATCAGGCTATATATCTTTTTAAATATCGAACTAATATGATAGCCATGTTTTTCAGTAGCAGGCATAGGGGGGGTACCATGGGTCTATAATTGAACCCCCCTTTGTAAGATCTTGTGAAGCCCATCACTTTTTAGGCTTGGTAGGTACCTTCCTCAGTGAAGCTAATTGCACCAGCATTGTTCTGTGTGCCCACTATTTTGGAACCCCTCTTTTCAAACTCCTGAAATCATCATCATGTTTATATTTACATTTGCATCAGAAAGGATGCACAAGAGATCTTGAAGTACTACAAAAGAGAACAAGTCCTTACCCATTGCGATTGTATTTCTTGAAAGCAGCTAGTGGTTGAATTGGATCTTCAACCTGTGTATTAACAAATGCATCATTACAAATATAATATTGCTTTATGTTGCGATTATATAGGTACATATTCTTGGGGTACAACCACATGACTCACAATTCCTTGAGATAAAAATAACGATGAAACGACTGCCATATTTGTTGATCTAACAAGAGGAGCTAATAAGGAATGCATTGTTATTGTCAACCAACATGGCGGCTATGACGAAACATACACCCCAAGAATATTTCTAGGAAGTGTGGATACGATATTTTCTTGGATTTATACATCACATATATTTGACATATTTCACCAGACCTCATTGGCGGCATCCACAGCTGCTTGAGACGCATTAATCTTTGCAACTTCCTGAAAATAAGTAAAAAGATATCACAATTTGATATGGAAATTACTTTGGATGTTGGAGAATCTCATCCCCACCTACCCCTCCCCGACTGTTTTATTGAATACATGTTAGTATAAAGTTGATATGTTAGAAATTTACGGTTTACCTCTTTTCTTCTCAGTTTCTTTTCTTTTCCTTTCAATGATTTTCTCTGTAGAGAAAGAAAATATGCTTATCTCTAAAATATGCTACCTCTGCTCTAAAAGAAGCTCACCACATAAAACTACGTCTACAGCTCCCGTTTGAATGTTTGTACAAAAATATATACATATTCAGGCCAAGAAAATAAAGAAAAGCAACTAATGAAGCTTTAGGTGTAACTTACGCCCATTTTGGTATAGAAAATACAGCAAATTTTTCAACTGCAGAGGTTTTAAAATGTAATAAACTGCCTTCGATCACTAAAATCAAAATGGATTTTTCGCGGGAAAAACCACTAATGTGCCCGCAATGTTCCAAGGGTAGTCTCAGGATACCGCGGCCAAAGATCCCTTAGGGAGCCCAAAAATTCTTAGAAAAAGGATTATTTTTTAGCTAAGAGCATCGATCTCTTTTGTTACGATAGGTTTAATTTTTTTGTTTGGAAAAATTCTTTAGGAGAACCAAACTATTGTATTTTAATCCTGTTCAATCCTACAATTTGAAAAGAAAATATAACACCGTAGAATCCAAGAATTACTATTCTCACTGACACTTGTTCGACATGGCCACGGTAGAAGTCGAAAGAGTTTCTGGAATTCCTATGATTGATTTTAGTGCCTTCAGCATCGAAAAGAAAACAAGACCGCCAGCAGAAAATGAAGAGGTCCAGCTGTTAGTCAAACAGTTGTTACATGCCTTTAGTACAGTGGGTTTTGTTTTCTTGAAAAACTATGGAATCTCACAAGACGAGGTAAGATTATGAATGAACGCTTTCGAAACGTCTGATCTCTCCATTCAAATAAATACAAACCCTTAATGTTTTTTGGCACTAATCTCTTTTCAAAATAATAAAATAAGCTTTTTTTAAAGTTAAAATGTAAAGAATTTCTAGTGATTTGTATAATGCAACGTTTCATCAAATCGAAAGTGCATCGTTGCAGAAAGCGAACATTGCGATCATTCCTGAAAATTTAGACTTATTCTCAGAAATAGCCTCTGTACAGTTTATCCCCCCCCTTCCATATTGTAGATGTAATAATGTTTGGGCCAGCAAAATACATTACTTACGCAAACGTATACCCTTAAAGTCCTTTAAAGTTCCCCAGACAAGAGAGAATAGTGTCAAATAATAGTTTTTACTACATGTAGTATTGAGAGAATCAATTTTAAAGTAGGTTTCGGTTTTAATTAACCATCTTTACGAAAGTATGTGCATTGGTGCACAATTGTACATACTTTGTAATTGTACAGAAAGATTGTCTTTATACTGAATTAAGCTAAGGACTTAAGAATCTCCCTTAGGAAATAGTGATAAAGAAAAAGATTCGATTTGTTATGCAATAAAGGTTGACTTAAGATGGATAAGGAAAATGTCACAATCAAATCCATTTTATTATGACTATTCCCTAAGAGTGTTATTTAAGTCCTTAAGCTTAATCAGTACAAAGACAAAATTTAGGGCTTTTGTAACTCCCAGATTGAATCCTGAAACTACCTCTGGGCTAATTAAAGTCAGGGCAGGGCTAACTCGCAGACCAAACCCTGAAACAACCTTTGATTGGGCTAACAACCTCTGGGCTAATCTACGTCAGGGCATGGCTAACTCACAGATTTAAAACCTCGAAACAACCTCTGGAATGATCTATGTCAGGGCATGGCTAACTCACAGATCAAGCCCTGAAACAACCCCTCCCAAACTGATCTACGTCAGGGCATGGCTAACTCACAGATTGAAACAAGAAACGAGAGAAGAGAGATGTTGAAATCTAGACTCCAAAGGTGGGATGTTGTAGACCCCAGAGGTGAGATGTTGTAGACCCCAGAGGTGAGATGTTGTAGACCCCAGAGGTGAGATGTTGTAGACCCCAGAGGTGAGAT